AAATGGTAGAGAGCTAGCCTTGAGCTGAAGAGGTGAGAGACAGTGCTCAGGCCCAGAGTTCAAGCCCCAGGACTGACAAAACAAAACAAAAACAAAAACCCACAAAGAATCTGAATATGTTCAAGCTTTGGGTTAGTTTTTTCCGTTAAGACATTTTTTTCTAATCTCTTCTCAGTTAAATTGTACTTAGTCTGCTTAAATGGCAACATTTTCAGGAATTTTGGAAGTAGGCTACCAAGGAAAAATTTCTAATGACCAGATCATATTTTCCTTATTCAAAGTACTGAATAAATCATATAAGATAGAGCATGAGGGGCTGGGAAGGTGGCTCAGTGGTAGAGTGCTTGCCTTCATGCATGAGGCCCTGAGTTCGATTCCTTGGCACCACATAAGTACAAAAAGCCGGAAGTGGAGCTGTGGCTCAAGTGGTAGAGTGCTAGCTAGCCTTCAGCTGAAGAGCTCAGGGAAAGCACCCAAGCCCAGAGTTCAGGCCCCAAGACCCCCACCCCCCCACCCCACCAAATAAAAATGATAAGAGCATGAGGTGATGGACATCATATCATTTTCAACCATTTGTTTTTTCCCATAATATTTCCAATATTAAGTCATAGGCCTAACTGACTAAAAATGAATTCAAAGCTTAAAAAGTAGAATGAAAACCCCAATTCTGAAGAAGAGATTAAAACTGATTAGAAGTTGCAAAACTGCCTCATAGTGCTTTGAAATTATGAAATCATTTTCAACCAATTTGTCTTTGTGCCTTCTAATAAAAACCATTTACAGGAGCTGGGAAGGTGGCTCAGTGGTAGAGTGCTGGCCTTGCATGTATGAGGCCCTGATTTTGATTCCTCACACCACATAAGCAGAAAAAGCCTGAAGTGGCGCTGTGGCTCAAGTGCTAGAGCGCTAGCCTTGAGCTGAAGAGCTGAGGGACAGCACCCAGGCCCAGAGTTCAGGCCCCAGACTGGCAAAAAATAAATAAATAAATAACCCCCCAAAACCAAAAGAACACATTTACATTACAATGATGCTTACTAAATTCAGAGATGCCACCAAAACTTGAAATCCATTGAAAATAAACATAAAATAGACCACATTATGTAGAATTTAGTTCATTTTAAGTGCAAGTGTATGAGTCAGTCGTAAATGATACATCTTATCCCAAAGCATATTCTATAGAATACATAGGTTACTGGTAGGTATTTCTTGAACAAAAGCTCTGTATTAAAAGAAAAAAAATAGGTGAGAAAGATTTAGCAGTTTTCAAAAAATCCTTATCCAAATTATGTATCTTTAATTCTGAAATTCAAAAGGTAGTAAAATCTTAAAAATAATTATAAGATAACAAAATTTGTCTGTTAGACTGTTAGGACTTCTTAAAGCTTCAGTTAGTCTGACCACCCTATACATTTTTTTTTCTGTAGAAGATATTTACCTCAAGTTAATTTACCTCAAGGTTACTAGGGATACTACTTAATGTATGCACTTAATAAGACACCTCTAAAATATGAAGATTTCTAAATTTCAAATCAAATCTGATATGAATTTCCCAAAATGTACTGTGAAACAATACCAATGAACAATGCTAGTCAGTAAGAAGAAAAATGTCTAAAACTATAACCATAATGTTTACTTCTGAAAAGTGTATGAAAAGAAACAATGGATTAAAATGTGCCCCAAACTGGTAATAATTAAGACCATACTATTTCAACATCTAATCAAAGTATAAAACAAGTGGACAAAATAATGTTAACTGTTTTGTTCTTACTAAACATTTTATGCAATAATATTGTTTTATCAGTAAGTTTTATCTGATGAAAAATGGAAATTGGTCCATGTTTCCATACTGTGTTGCAGTATAGTGTTAGTATAGGCGTGCCAGAGCCAAATGTTTTAATAAGGAAACACTTGACTTTCTAGAATTTGATCTGAGGATAAAATGAGAAAGTATACAGATAAATATATTTTTCTTTTATTATATGAATGTAAGCCTTGTCTTTCCAGCCTTGTCCTTGCCCTGAGGGTACACAGTAATTGCTAAATTTGCTTTCTGGTGAACTTACTCAAAACTGGACAGGAATTGAATTTTCTTTTATCTACAATCTCTAAACATCCTGAACTGATCCAAAAATTGTAACATAATTTTATTTAATCATAATATAAATTCCTTTCAGTCCATTTCTTAGCACTGTTTTTAACTGTAAAATCTGTTTAGGCACTGGTCACCGGTGGCTTGTGCCTGTAATCCTAATTACTCAGGATGTGGAGATCTGAGAATCATGGTTCAAAGCCAGCCCAGGTAGGAACATCCATTTAGACTCTCATCTCCAATTAACCACCAGACAACCAGAAGAGGCGCTGTGGCTCAAGTGACAGGGCACTCACCTTGAGCTGAAGAGCTCAGGGACAGCGCCCAGGCCCAGAGTTCGAAGCCCCACAACCAACAACAACAACAAAAAATCTGTTTAGGAGCTATATTAATGTATGTATTACTTTACAAACTGTAAGTTATAATTGCCTTTGAATACATAAATAGTACTGGTATAACAAACAAAAACTTAATGAAAGGTTTTAAGTCACAGCAGTATTAATGAATACTTCACACTTTAAAGCTGGATGCTAGTGGCTCATACCTGTAATCCTAGCTACTCAGGAGGCTGAGAGCTGAGGCTCTCGGTTTAAAGCCAGACCAGGCAGAAAGGTCCCAGTGAGACTCTTATCAGTTAATAACCAGAAAATGGGAAGTACTGCTGTAACTCAAAAATGGTACAGCGCTAGCCTTGAGTGAAAAAGTTCAGGAAAACTCAAGCCTCTGAATGATAAAACAACAACAACAAAAACTTCACATTTAAAAATATTATTTAATGTATTAAGAGATATTTTGGAATTAATTGCCTTAGTCATCAAGCTAATTTAAAATAAGCTAGTGGTTTGCTTGTAAAATACTTAAAGGTTTATTTCTGTAAACCACTTAAAAATTTAGGCCAAAGTAGACCACTTTGAAAATTGTAGTGCAAACAAATTAAGCCTGTTTTTGGTACTTTTATAATACTTACTCATTAATGATATGTTACACATATATTTTAAGATGTTGAATTACATTTAATAATTTAAATAACTAAAGTGTAATATAAACTATATTATCTATATATCTACCTTGTCTACTTGACAACTCAGTAGCAACTTTCTATCAAATTTTAATTGACTTTATCACAGAAGGAATAAAAATAAATCTACAAATAAATGAGGATGATGCTGACAAACTTCAGTTCCTTTTAGTTAGCAATTTTAAATGTTTCCCCAATCAATTAATTTTCATGTTTTGTTTTTTTTTTTGGTGGTACTACAGATTGAATCAAGGGCCTCACACATGCTAGGCAAGTGCTCTACCACTTGAGACACATTCTCAGTCCTTTATTTCGTATTTTACTAATTTATTTGTCAGTCTTGGGGCTTGAACTCTGGGCCTGGGCACTGGCCCTCAGCTCTTCAGCTCAAGACTAGTGTTCTACTTTTTGAGCCACAGCACCACTTCCGGTTTTCAAGTGTTATATTGGAGATGAATCTCAAGGACACTCCTGCCTGGGGTGGCTTTGAACCAGGATCCTCAGATCTCAGCCTCCTGAGTAGCTAGATTACACGTGTGAGCCACCAGTGCCTGGCCGTATTTTATTTTTGAGATAGGGTCTATCTTACTTTGCCTAGGCTGGCTTTGAATTTGAGAGCCACTAGCCTCTATCTCCTAAGTACCTGGCATTACAGATGTATGTCACTATGGTAGGCTCACACAATTTTTTACGAAAGTTAATAAAAATTATTATTACTTTTATCTTAGCTATCCTCATAATAAATTAGATCAAAACAAATTTAAAAAACAGACAACAGGAAAAGTAAAAGCACCTAATGAGTTAAAATATAATAATAAAAGCAACTAACCACTCATGACTTAGTGAGATTTTAAATAGGCTCCTAACATATACAACAAATTTATATGAAAATGTATACTGAAAATAGAGTGCTAAAAAATATATGATGTGGGGAAAACACGGAGACCCAGATAAATAATCTGCTAACCCTAGTTTAAGAAGTTAATGGTTCGTTATTTTGTTTTCTTTGTGTCTTACATGTCTTTGGAAGGGTAAAGGGGGGGCACAGAAATGGAGGTACAAAAGACGGGCAAATGCAGCAGTGGTACTCACTAGAAACTATGTGGAAAACTGACTATACAACTCATGGGTATTTTCAAGAAGGAAAAACAGAGAATGAGAGGGAAAAACAGAGAGCATAAGTGAAGGAGTTACACTGTCCAAGAAGAAATGTATACTCATTACCTGACGTACATGACTGAAACAATAAAAACGTATTTTTTTTAAAAAAAGTTAATTTACTGTGAACTATAAGTCTTAGGAATGATACTTTTATTTTTTTTTTGACGGTTGTGGGCCTAGGTTCTGTCCCTCAGCTCTTCAGCTCGAGGCTAGTGCTCTACCATTTGAGGCATAGCACCACTTCTGGCTTTTTCTGCTTATGTGGTGCTAAAGAATCCAACCCTGGGCCTCATGCATACAAGGCAAGCACTCTACCACTGAGCCACTTTCCCAGCCTATGATACTTCTTTTACATTTGCTTTTTCTAGTACATTTGTACTGTCATTAAGTCTGGAGGAAAAAAATCTAACTTGCCATAAATAACAGGAATCACATCAGTTACAATGAGATTGGTAAAGAAAAATGTAAAAATATAATGATAAATGTGTTTAACTAAAATTTAGATGTACTGCATTTATTTTTTTGGTTGTTGTTAGTATATGAAATCATTCTGCTCTAGAATTTTTAATAAATTTTTAATAAATGAAACCTAACTCTTACACATAGACATATATACACTCACATACAAGTAAACATGTACAATTTTATTCAGTCAATCAAAACTTCCCTGAGGCAAAATTCAAAATTTGAATTATACTCAAAAATATTTCTTACCCATTTGTATTAGCTTACCAGATTTGTGCTTCTTATGTTTTGCCTTCTTTTTGATGATCAATAACTTATTCTGGATCTCAGGTTTGTAAGACTTGAATACAAGAGAATGAAGACTTTCACGTTTTCTCTGTAAATTTTCATTCAAAACATCTTTCAATTTCTTTTTTTTCTTTTTCTTCTTTTTTGCCCTCATTTTTGTTAGTTTGAGTTTCTTGTGACTCTGCATTGACTGCTCTAATAAGAAATCCCTTACAATTTTGTGGCAGTTAATTTCTGGATGATCAGTGTGACTTCCATTTATATGAATTTGACAAGATTTTAGGGAATTTTCTTTTAATGGACTAGACTCACTTTTTATTCTGGAAGTTTCACCATACTTTTCCTGATTTTCTATAAACCTTATTTCACCTGGACTGAGTGGCTCACCAAAGCCAGTAACTTCCCCTGGACTCCCAGGTTTTCCCAAATTCTCCTTACAACAATCAGTTTTTTTAATTTCAGAGGGCCTGGGAATTTTAATTTCACAGTTAGATTTAACTTCCATTTCAACAGAGATGTCATGATTATCAAAGTTCACGTTAGCAGGGCAACAAGGTGAATCAAACTTACTTTCTTGTTCTTTCCTGACGGCAGAGGGCAGGCCTTCTCTACTACACCTATGTTCTCCATTACTTGTACTAACATAGTCATACTTTAATTTCTCCAGTTTAATCCGAGGTACTCTTTGTACTTGAATGGGTGGAATTGGAAATTCTGGGGCCTGAAAGGGTCTCTGTTTATAAATCCGTACATCTGCACCACAGAACTGTGGAAAATGTACATAAGCATTTTCCAAATAATCATAACCAAGGATAACTTCCCTGCACTCATGAATAGGCTGTCCAAGTACAGCATCTTGAACTTCTTTTTGTGTTTCATATACAAAGTCACAAAGACCCTTAAGTAACCACACTTTTTGGTAGAAGGGTAGTTCATGAAAAGGTTTCTCTTCCAATGGATTAACTTCTCCAAGAACTCTAAAAAATTGAGGACACAACCCAAGTTTTTCAGCACAATTATCAGGATTTTCAGTCTGCCCTACAGCAGTATACCACTGCTGTACTTTCTGTCTGAGTGCTGCTTCCCAGGTCCTATAAGGCAAAGTAGGTCTTCGATGTAAGGTAGGTCTGCGATGAGGAGGACTTAATAAAGAAGTCATAATTTTTGATAGAAAAGTATTACACTGAGGCATCAGAAGACAACGTTCCAATTCATAAAAGACTATTTCTGGCAAATTTAGAATTTGCTGGGCTAAACAAAGGAAATGTCCAATGGCTGGAATTTCCCACATGTTCTCCATGCAAGTTGGAGCTGCTTGAGCTAGAAGTTTTCTTTCCCATTCTTCTATTTCTTTTTGACAAGCTTCTTCTGCTTCTTTTCTTTCCTGCTCCCGAAGTCTAAACAAAATTTAACAAATTATATTATTATTAAAGAGCACTATAAAATACTTAATTTTAAGTAGGTGCATTTATCTTTAAGGCAAAAATGTTGTTTCAGTTTTCTACATCAGTACAAAGTACTCCATAAAAAGTATGTTTTTCTCACCTCAAGATAAACAGTTATATGTATGACTTCATCTTTGGTTTTTACTGATTATTATTTTATTGATTATCATTATGTTAAATGAAGTAAGACAATCAGTGAAAAGACAAATACCTGATCAATGGAGTCTAGAAAGAGTGGACAAGGATGGAGAATGGAAAGCAGTTCGACAATGGATACTAACACAGAGAAGAGGAATTAGCTCTGGTTTTCTACAGCTTAGTAGGGTAGCTTTTGGTTACAATAATTTGTGATATATTTCAAAATGACTAGAAAAGTATAAAGATCCCAACGTAAAATGTTTAAGGTGTACAGAGACAGAAATGCTTATTACCCTAATTTTATCATTACACAGTATATATACGTGGATCAACTTCTCATACCTGAACATTTTCATATTTATGTATTTCATAGACACATATTATATAATATAGTATATATTATAGTATTATATAGCACATATTATATAATGTCTATATATGTATTATATATTATATATCATATGTATATGTATACATTATATATAGGCATATATATATATAATAAAGCAAAATTAAATTATCAAAAGAAAAAGAGAAACTGAGCTACAACAAATGGGAAAGAAACAGGCTATACTATGTAGCCTTAAAAATGGAAATTATAGGGTTGGGAATGTGGCTTAGAATTAGAGCGCTTGCCTAACATGCATGAGGCCCTGGGTTCAATACCTCAGTATTATATAAACAAAAAAATTTTTTCTAATTTAATGGCAATTATGAATACCCTGTATCAACAGAGAAAATGTCAGAAGACAATAGAGTATATATTTAACAAACAATAGCAATACTAAAAATATGCATATACTATCAAAGAGATGACAGAATAGCGAAAATGATAGGTTAATAGGATTATGAGTGATCTTTTACTCTTGAAATTATTTTTACTTGTACTTGTTTAAAACCTTCTAATTAAAATGAAATTAAATAAAAATGTAGGTACAAATCTTTGTTATCTTAAATGAGGTATCAGTTTCTTGGATAAGATATCCAAACATAAACAATAAAAAAATTGATAAATTGGGTATCATTAAAACTAGAAACTTGTGCTTTTAAAAGATACCATTAAGAAAGTAAAAAGCTAACTCACATATTAAAAAATTGAAAATCATGCATCTAATAAGACTTCTACGCAGAAGGATAAACTAGCCCAGTTTGAAAATGAGCAAAAGAAAATGCATAATTTCTCAAAAGACATACAAATAAGCAACATGCACATAAAAAGATGATCAATGTTGTTATCCAGAGGAGAAACACAAATCAAAAGCATAATATGTTTTTGCATCAGTATATACCCATTAGGATGACTATTTAAAAAAGAAAGGTTAACGAGTATTGTGAAAAAGCTGAGAAAGTGGAAACTTCATATACTAAATGGTATAGTTACTCTGGAAAAGTCTGACAGTTCCTCAAAACGTTAAATATAAGGATACTATGTGATCCAGCAATTATACTAGGTGTATACTGAAGAGATATAAAAACATCTGCCCACACAAAAGCTTTACAGGAATGTTAACAGTCATATTATTCATAACAGCCAAAAGTGAAAACCAATTAATGCCTTATATTAGGTAATTTCCTTTTTTTTTTTGGGGGGGGGGGGTCCGGTCATGGGGCCTGAACTCTGGGCCTGGGCGCTGTCCTTCAGCTCTTCAGCCCAAGGCCAGCGCTCTACCACTTGAGCCACAGCACCACTTCCGGCTTTTTTATTTTTGCTTATGTGGTGCTGAGGAATCGAACCCAGGGCCTCAGGCATGCAAGGCAAGCGCTCTACCACTGAGCCACCTTCCCAGCCCTATATTAGGTAATTTCCTATGCTACCATACTGCATCCTGTTAAGACAAATACATAGAAAGAATGCCTTAAGAAATATTAGGACTTTCTCTTTTCTAAAACAAAAACATTTTATGTTTTTTGACTGAAAGGTTACACTATTAACCACTTTGCTATTTCAGATATAACAAGTTATTTGATTTTGCAATCTTGGTTCATTAAATAAAGAAATCTAATTAGTGATTTATTAAATATATATATGTGAATGTGTATATGTATACACCTATATATAAAGCATTTGGATATCCAAATGATGTCAAATATTCTTAATAACATTTGACCTTTTACATATGTGCATATAGTTTTGAAGAACTTTATTTTTTACTAAATGAGAGTGGTAGTAGGCTGGTAGAATTTGGTTATCCATACAGAGCTGGGACTCCAAAACAGTCTACACACTTAGTAGATGGTTATATCAGAAACAATAGTCCCTCTCCTCTATATTTAAGTTGAAAATTGAAAGAAAAGATGTTTTGTTTTGTTTTTACCTATAGTAGGAATGATAAGTGGGAAGAACAACTACCAAAATTTTCTCTCACATTGGCTCTCATATAGATTTTTGGCAAATTCACTTTTCCTGTGTACTCAGAAAAAAACTGAGAAATTAATTTAACATAGTCTCATGCCAATAGTGTTGTTAGGTACTTTTGAGGAGTGGGGCAAGGGTGGGTGCTAGGGCATCAAATTCAGGGTCTTGCCCATGCTAAACAAGTACTCTATATCCTCAGCTCAATCAGTTTATTGAACAGAAAAAAACTGAGAAGAAAAAACTGTACCAAGACCTTTAGAAACTCTAATACAGTAAAAAGAAATGAGTTCACAGCCAAAGATAATATAGCATGAAAAAATTAATGTACTAAGAGACCAGGAAGGAAAAAAAGTCTGACATTTATGGTAATTCTCATATTTATGGTAAATAAAATTTTTACCATGAATGTATGAATTGTGGGATGCAGAAATACAATATTCAGTGAAAAAAAACTGAAAACAAGAGAAGACAATAAAAGATGAAAAACCAGTTTTGGAAAAGAACAAAAACAACTTTCTAGAAAAATTAGAGAAGGGGCTGGGAAGGTGGCTCAGTGGTAGAGCGCTTGCCTTGCATGCCTGAGGCCCTGGGTTCGATTCCTCAGCACCACATAAGCAAAAAGAAAAAAGCCGGAAGTGGTGTTGTGGCTCAAGTGGTAGAGTGCTAGCCTTGAGCTGAAGATCTGAGGGACAGCGCCCAGGCCCAGAGTTCAGGCCCCACCACTGGACCCCCCCAAAAAAAAGAAAAGAAAAGAAAAATTAGAGAAATTAAAATGACCAGATTTAGTGTTGACTCCTAAATAAACAGTAAGAGTGGAAGCATGTACACAGTGGAACACTTTAAATATGCTAAGGAAATAACTGCCAATATAAATTCCCCTTCAGAACAAAAGTATTATTCCAAAACAAAGATAAAAACATTTCTAGACAAGCACAACTCAGTATTTCTGATTTTAAAATTTCACTTACAAGATATTACAGCGGAAATGTCAATGACTTGGAAAAGAGCAAAAACATAGCAACATATAGGTTAAATTATATAGCCAAGGCATAAAACTGATAAAAAAATGTTTTATAGAGTTTAAAAAGAAATAAAATACCTTACAAAAGCAACTACATGATTAAAGTTGAAAGCATTTCAAAGTCCTTCTAAGTATCAGGAATAAGGTAGAAATATGAATTTTAGGCTTTTGTAACTTAAAACATGTAGAAGTTTCTAGGATATCTACTAAAATAACAGACATAATATTCAAATTAGTATAAACAGATATGGTGTTTTATTCCTACAGTCCCTGCTACTCATGAAGCTGAGAATGGAAAGACTGCTGTGGCTTAAGGACAGCAGTGTGGAACAGTTCACAAGTCTCCTTTCTCAACCCATACCTGTCCATATTAGTTTCCTGGGAGGCTAAGATTGGGAGGATCAATTTCAAGCCTGTGAAATCCATGAGATTTCATCTTAATGGGAGAATCTGGGCATGGTGGTACATTTTGATCATCCAAGCTATGAAAGGAAGCTAAAAATAGGTGAGCTGTGGTCCAGGTGTATGCCTGGGCAAGAAGTGAGACCCTGGGCAAGAAGTGTGGGAAAAATAAAAAAACTAGCATAAAAAAGGGCTGGAAGCATGGCTCAGCAGTAAAAGTATCTAGGTATACACTCCAGTACTGCTGAACTATGAAAAGGAGAAGATATGCAGGAGAAAAGTATAAAAGGATTAGATTTATAATTAAGCTATTTGACAGAATATTCAATAAAGGACTTTGGTTATACAAAATAATTGGATCTAAACAAAATTGTCCATAACTCAAGGAACAAACCTTCTGAGAAGATTCAAAATTATCAAACTGTCTCTTAACAACTGCAATCCAGAAAAAAGTTCAAGTATTAATAGGGTCACAAAAGTATCCAATAGGCATCAAAGTAATGTGTACAATATTTGATATCTAAATTGAAACTGTAAAGCAGACAATGAAGCAGAAATACAAGACTGATTCATGATGAGGAAAATCAATCAAAACAGAACCAGAAATAACAGATATTAGAATTTAAAACAAAGTAACAAGTAATCATTTAAAATGTATTTCATGGTCAGAAGATTACATAAATTGGAAGATATAAAAAGACCTAAATTAAACTTTTGATATAAAATATACTGAATGAGATTAATGACTAATTTAACAATTTAAAAGAATACTAAACTTGGAAGACAGCAAGGAAAACTACTCAAATGAAATATATAGAGAAAATTCTTCAATAACATATATTTAAGGAAAAAAATCATAAAGTTCTAAGACACAAGGAGTGTGAACAAACAAACTGTCAAATGTATGGGCAAATACATTAAGAGGAAAATGTAATAATGTCTTGTTGGGTAGTGAAAAGATGAGAAAGATGAGTTATTATTATTTTAGGTATGAGACCAGGACTTGAACTTGGGACCTGCCATTTTTCACTCACT